TATTTATATCTTCTTGACGCCTACAGCTTGGTTATATGTCAGCCATATTCACTGATTTTATATTTTATAGTTTTCCGAATAAGAATTTATTGTTTTCGATTGGGCCATTACATTCCCTGCGCTATCGAATCTTCCTTGAACGGAGAAGGACATAACTATTAATAAGAGCCTGTTTTTATGTAACCAGCCTTGATGTCCGTGCTTCAAAGGCTTCTGAATTCCTACATCATAGATTATACATTTGTATGCCTAGAAGTAAGGGATCATTTGATGTCCAAGGTCGACTCTCACAAACGTCGACATTCGTCCTCTTGAGGAACATGCTCACATGACGTTGCACCCAATACTCTCCTAGAGGAAAACAATTCAAGCGTTCTTTCGACTGGATTTGCAGAGGTCCACCTGTTTTCCGCACATACTCCTTTTAATTTTGATAACACGGACTGATTACACTACACCGGATGTCGTGCAAACTCCTTCTATACCGGAATGGGCATATGACACAAGAAGGCACTTTGCAGAGGTGGTCATATTGGTGATCCCGACCTAGTTGTTGTCTGAGGTTCGAGCAGGAATCCGCAGCTTCAACCAGGTACTGGAGACTTTCCTTTTCTCACAAATGATCCTATGCTGTACTTAATTCGTCAGATATAAATGGAACAGATGATTCCGTGTTATATCAGAGTGGGAAACATGATATTTTGTAGCCCCCTGTCTGTGCTATGCGCAGCGACTGTTGCATCGGCTCTGTTTCCTCAGGCTTTGTACAACATATTTCTTATGATGATTTTCTTGCAATTAAATGATGGGACGAGCAGTAATGTATTAGCATTCACACCGATGAGCCAGCGATTCCATTTAGTCCTGAAAGTACGCGCAGTCATTCTTACCTGGACATTGAGAGAAACCAGTCGTGGGCTTGAGGGTGGTAAACGCTCATATCTTGTAGGTGTGGGCGTGTGATAGCCCTCTTTTTGCCTTGACAAAACTACAGAATTTCGCCTTTGTCGCTTACATCGATCTTCGTAGCCCAGGCGTCTAAGAAATTTCAGTCTGTTCATGCTCCTGCTTGATCGAAAGTCAGATTTCTCGAAGTTGGTTTCGCGATATCGGGGGATGGAGTATCGCAAACAGCTGGCCGAAGAATTTCAACACTAGGAATCCACCACATGATCAGGTTCCTTAAACTCGAGACATTTGCAGGCAGGTCCGCATGATATGGTTTAGCATAAGACCGGAGAGATGAAAGGCCTGTTTGTTTTGGACGGGTTTCAGTATGAGTTCGCTCCCCAAACCATGCGTGTGATAGTGTACGCCTCTTTTCCCCTACTTTTAATCACAGTAGCACAAGGAAAAATCGGGAATATAGCACTCTCCTGGAATTATTTTATTCAAGAAACTGTATTACGCAGGCTAGCATCCAGAAATTGTGATTGATTGTTATTTTATTTTCACAAGTGTTATGCGAAACCATTGCCATGAAAATGGAGAGAAAGTTTGTGATTTCCTCATAGAATCCATTCTTTTATATATTTCGAACAAAATTTTCCTAGTAAATTTCAAGACTACCATGAAAACGGGGAGAACGCATTATTTGAAACAATCCTTATTATATTATTTAAAGATAATGTTGAGCGGAGTTGATTTAGTGGGCAAGCGGCACTCTATCACACACGCATGGTCACGAGTTCGAATCCCGTATAGATATCATAGGTCAATCAAGCCTTTAATCCCTCCGAGATTGGTTAATTAATACCAGGCTTCCCTGGGAGGGTAAAAACATTGTCTTCTACACCGGCTGGCCTTCGCAAGTCATTGTATAGGCCATATACACATTCAATACGCCACTACGGTTCTAAATGAAAGGCGAATGCAAGGGCGCAACCCTCAGAGGGAAATGATAGACGCCAGAAGACTTTAGACTTCTTCGACAACTAAACAAAGACAACTGACCTCTTCGTTGATAATAAACAGTTTTTGCTGAATTATTTATTAGCAAAATGATATCAAAGGTTCATGATGGACATGCTCTCGAATGAAGACACAGACTCTTCTAGATGCTCTTCTGTTTCTTCATAATCTGACTGATATGGTATAATCACTGGTGCGACTGGAAGGGCACCACCTGGAAGTATTACTAATGGTGTGGCTGTTGTTGTTGTTGGTGGTGGTGTTGTTGTTCGCATTTCAACCCAGCTCCTCCACATCGCAGGTGTTGTCCCGGAACGCACGCATTCGAAAGCATAGTCTTTGTAGAACGACGAGCTCTTTAGGATTTGACGCAGCCACGCCTTCACCTAAAAAATGGTCATTATTTCGTGTAGATGAGCACCACCTGACCACTGTCGCCTACTGAACCCAAAAAAAAAGCTGTAAAGAACTTCTTAATGAGTACAACAGGGCAATTGGCATTCGTAAGTACGAAAGACCAGGCAAAATAGCCATCTTTATCGGTACAGTTCAGATCTGAAAAATCTCCAAGTGACGCAGAATATTGTTGAATCTGAAATGAATTCTTAGATATCGAAAGTTTCCAAACATGCTTGAAAATAAACCTCCATACTGACCTTTGTTTGGGAAAAGTCACTCAAGAATGTGCTGACTCCCGCTGGATTGTAGGTTTGGTTGGTGATTAGATAAATGAACATGACATCGTGTCCTTTCTCTTTCACTTTGGGTTCTGGCACTGGTGAGCAAGCCTTCAAAAAATTCTTTCTGAATGTTGTCTTCTATTTACTGCCTTAAAGCGTAAGAACGATACCCATGGCCCTATCTTAGAGAAGGTAACATATTGAACGTACCAGTGAAGTTCCGATGAGGACGAAAGCAAGAAGCAGACGTTCCATGATGAATGCCTGTAGTGAATTTGGAATGCTTGCTTTCCTTCTTACTATTTATATCTTCTTGACGCCTCAGCTTGGTTATATGTCAGCCATATTCACAAATTTTAAATTTTATAGTTTTCTGAATAAGGATTTATTGTTTTCGATTGGGCCATTACATTCCCTGCGCTACCCAATCTTCCTTGAACGGAGAAGGACATAAATATCAATAATAGCCTGCTTTTATGTAACCAGCCTTGATGTCCGTGCTTCAGTGGTTTCTGAATTCATATCTCATAGATCATACATTTGTATATCTAGAAGTAAGGGATCATTTTGATGTCCAAGGTCAACTCTCACAAGCGACGACATTCGTCCCCTTGAGGAACATGCTCCCATGACGTTGTACCCAATGCTCTCCTAGAGGAGATTCAAGTGTTCTTTCGACTGAATTTGAAGAGGTCCGCCTGTTTCCCCAACATACTCCTTTTGAATTGATAACACGGACTGATTACATTGCACCGGATGTCATGCAAACTCCTATAGCGGAATGGGCATATGACACAAGAAGACGTTGGGCGGAGGTGGTCATATGGGCGATCCCGGACTAGCTGTTGTCTGAGGTTCGAGCAGGAGTCCGCAACTTCCCCCAAGTCGTGGTGCCTTTCTCACAAATGATCCTATGGCTGTACTTAATTCGTCAGATATAAATGGGACATTTGTTTCCATGTCCCGTGACAATAATGGGTCACGATCCTTTGTTTGTATCAGAATGGGAGGTGGAAGTCGGTGCTTATCCCTTTGATTGGAAATGTCGGTCTTTCGCTCTCTCTGAAAAATCAATTTCCGCCAAAAACTCAACTGTTAGACAATCAAAGCTTTGGGCGGTACTTAAAAATGTTTCGAGCAGTGAAAACATCATTATCAGGTGTCGTCAACAGTGGACCCTTTTCCTTACAGAGATATTATTAGTTGAGAATTCAAAATTACCGGCCATCGTTCGAGTTTTGTCGCAAATGATAACGAGCAAAGAGATCCTTCATTGAATCACAAGCCTTGTTGGGTAGCGATCGTAATCTAATTGCAAGAAATGAATAATATTCTCATCTACTTATCGTATTCCCGCTAGTGGGTCCCTATCACTGCACGTACCACTCACTTTTGTTGCCCTACTCTGGCATCCCGTCTTATCGAACGAGACATACTGAACTGTCAAGCCACATCGTAAATAACGAAGCCTTGAGGTTTTGATCGTTGGGTAGCCTTCAGTTATTCGCAGTTCCTGTCGAAAAGATGGAAAGAAACCAGAAAACCGCTGGCATTCCTCCCATCATCTTGACCGTAGACGTCCATTGTGTGCGTTTTGTGCATTTGCGTACATTAGCGCGAAGCTAGACATTCAAATTGGCAGCGTGGTGTCATTTAATCGATCGCTACAGTCGAGGGCACCGCAGCGTGTAGTATTTCCAGGTTTTTGCTCTTGTTGTTACTGTTGTTGTTGTTTACTGAATTTCTTTTACAGGTAAGTGTTTTTTGGTGAATACCGGTGGAAGGATGGTGCGTATGAAACCAGTACCAGAACCTCTGTTTCCAAAGGGGCGAATAACTATGAGGGAGACAAGACGTGAAGTTATCCATGAGGTTTCTGTGGAGTAAGTGTTGTTTTGGTGGACCAGTTTTGTATAGGTTTTTGTATACGCTTTTACGCATCAAGCTTTTATTCTATTCTATTGTTTTGAAAAAATTTCACTCAGTTACATTTTCGGATGCTTACTAGCCTAAAATAATCTCTCATATTTTAGATTGTGTCGNCGATTTATCACTGAAGAGTTTTTTGTTTCAGTGATGATCAGCGCTTCCAGTACAGCCGGGGATATGTTGAGCCTACAAGACCTCAGTATTCGGTGGAGTATCCCCAATCACCCCCTAGACGGGATAATGACACGTAATTCTTCTTTGCCTTCTTTTTTATAGCTGCATATTTTACCAGTTTTCTAATTGCATTTTCTGAGTCATTATTTATCTAAAACGATGGTTGTCCTTTTATAATATTTTCTAGTAAATTAGGAACGCATGATTCACAAAGTCATCAAAAAGTGTAGATAATTAGATGAGCTAGCTGTTGTGTTCGAAGTCTGTTTTGAATTACTGAGTATTATCAAGTTCTGTTGTATGCTCCTGGGATTCATGCGTCATCTCTTGTTCATTAACTTTACTCTTTCTGAATCTATTGCTATGATATTCAGAGACCGAAACGATCGTCACCCGGATTTTTCCCAATTTTACGATGGTCCGAATGAGTACATGACTGAAGAGTACGAGCCAACATATGCGAGAGAGCTAGAAAATCGAAGGTAATGAATTATGTGAATGAGGGAGGGTAAACGTGCTCCGACTTTAAGTAACTCGAATAAGAATGGGCTGCGTTGTATTGCCAGTAAATTCTGATTTCCCTTTACTTTAAAGATTTACCTATTTATATTCTTAATGCCGTAGCATGCCACAAGGCTTTAATAAACATTTCATCTGAATTTGACTGCTTGCGTTTTGATTTAGAGAATATAGTCGAAGGCCAATGGAAGGATTTTCGCGAAACATTGATGGCACTAGCGAATATATGACAGAGCGAAGCTATGCAAAGCCTACGGGTAACCGCAGGTGGGTTCTAAATTTTACTGTAAACTTTTCTTTTATGACTACAATGAACTATATCTCCAATCAACATGTATTCGTGTTTGTTCCTCTGATCTCGTATAGATGGGAAACAGCACTTAACACCTGTCCATGTTTTCTACATACATATCTAAATGTTACTTGACCGTTTCGCTGTAGAAGGATTATCGAGTAGTTTTCCAACGAGGAAAGAAGTTGTTGCGGTTTCAGTAGGCAGAATGATGATCGAGAAAATACTAATCCATCATACTTGAGAATGCATGGAAGCATGAATGAATACATGGCGCATGACCGTACGAAGCAAGGCTATGAGTGAGTTCTTCCTCCATTTTAAAATTGCAAGGATGAAGATAAGGTGTACCAAATCAACTTTGTTAGCGCCTTTATCGTGTGCTTGAGGTAGCAGTGTATGTTTCCATCGGTTCCTTCTGAACAAAAGCGTTACACATTCAATAAACTTACCTGTCATTTCAGAAATTTGAAGCGAAAGGAGAAACGTGTACCATTGCAAAGACGTCAGATCAACGAGTATATGACTGATCCTCGTGAAATTTCTATGGAAATGTGAGGTTTTACCTGCTGCGTTGTTCCGTTTCCTTAACGTATTTGACTTCCAGTTAGGCAACTTTGCATACTTTAGCGCTCGTGATTCTTCATTTCCATCGGAACAAATTATTCGCGAAATGCAGGAACAAGAAGAGGACCTTCCGACATTGTATACGAGGCGTGTGGATACGTCTGATCAAAGGTGGACATTCCTTGCAGTATAACAGCACTCTTTGTTGAAATTTGAGCCCAGAAAGACCCCTCTTACTTCATTCTGGGCCACTAGTTGTGCTACTGCCTTTTAAGCTTCAGTAAGGACATACATTAGAGTGTTGAAGTAGCTAATTACTTCATTAAATGGTGGTGTGGGATGCGTATCAGAGTTCAGAGACAAGCTAACTGAAGTTTCTGTTCACCTAAACTTGGTTTTCTTTCTAATGTTTGCGACAATAAATTCTTTCGATATTTTAAGAAATTAAGTGTACGAAAGGGTGTCATCGAATCCGGGCAATCTGCAATACGGGATTGTGCGCTCTTCCATCGTGCGCTAATTCTCTATTTCTTCCAAGTACCCGTATAGCGCCCGCAACTGAACTTTTATAGGATGATGGATCGTAGCGAGTCAGTCCGAGATGGAACTAAAAGGAAAATGATCTATCGTAATCATGAAATGCCGGAGGCGCGAAACAACTATCGTGAATCAGGTTGGAATGATGCAGGCAGTTTTGTGGCTGGACCTTCGAGACTCTCAGGTTCGACGGTGCTTACTTCTTCCGATATGAGTGGATTTATCTCTTATCTTACAAGACTTTTTATTATCACTGTAAAACGATTCGGAATCTAACAAATTAAGGTGGTACCCCAAGATTCGGGATCAAATCATTTGCTAGAAGACCAACGGGGCGCCGTCATCGACCAGGAGTTAAAGCGTTAAAAGAAATTCGTCGACTTCAAAAGACAACTTGTAACTTGATACCAAAGGTGTGAAATCGTCTCTTTTTGCATTGAACTATACTGACTAGACATTTATAGTTGCCTTTTCAACGCGTCGTTCGTGAGGTTGTGACGGAGTTGTATCCTGATTGCGAGTACCGCTTCACAGTGGAATCTTGCGAAGCGCTGCATGTGGTAATTGAAACTTTTTAGTTTATATGCAATTATTAGGCTTCTTTCTGCGACTTTGGAAAGCTCAAGGTTTAGTTGTTAAAGAGTTAAAGTTAAGATTCTGTTTCCATCTGTTAGTTATTGTGGAGTCATTTCGACTATTGCACTTGAAACTTTTGCTTTACGGTAGCCTTACCGCACTGAAAACCATATATCAGAGAAGTTATTATATATTTAAGCTTTTGGAATGATTCCGCGATAGTCACTAGGCAGATTTCAAATTTCTAGTGACATGTCTTCGGGTTCTATCATTAGAATAGCTAGAATTCTAGTGCACTGCATACTGAATGTTTACAAGACAAAGGGTTCCATCGATGCCAAGCTTTCTCAGCCGAAGCTCACTATATGAAGAAAAGAGGCACCTTCGTCCTTTTGCAAAGCACGTTCGGAGTTCCTTCTGTCGTACTTTTACCACCAAAGAAAATCGTTGTCGCAAAAATTTGAAAATATAATATTGAGAAGGTTTTGAAGAAATTTGGGAAATTTGCGTGAGAATCAGGTCTGCTATCATGGATTACGATTGCCTCCATTGTAAGACTTTTGTAAAATTTGTAAGACTGAAATGAGTCATACTTAGTAGATATTAAGAAGGATGAAGAGAAAGCCGAACATGTCGTAGTAAACCAGACTTCTTCCGGAAGTTTCCCTGGGGGTCCTATTTGGGCGTACTTTCCAAGCGTGTACGCAAAACATATACGGCTACCTCTTCCGAGCTTATTTGGCCGCAGAATGACTGAACTGTCTATCCATACTCGACATGTACTTCTCTACGAGTTCTAATCCGCCCATTCTAATACGTTGTAAACCGAGTGTTAATAGGACCAACTATGGATACACCATTCCTTTTTCCTGCTTTTTCCATATGAGTCGTTCGGAGTCTTTCCTTGTCAACACTTTCTCATGAAACTTTTAAAATCTGATAGAATCTTTATTGAATTGATATATCGAGCATTATAATTCGCTCGTGGTCATTCATGATGGCTTAATCTGATTTTAACGAATTAATCCATCAGTTGGTTAGGGGTGTGGTGCAGTAGGAACGAAATCGTCGCGTCGCAGCAAGAGAGACGCTGCGCGCGAAGGAATGTAGCAGGATTCAGCAGCAAGTAAGAAAAACAAGAACAAAAGAACTACCAGTAGAATCATACCAGTAGTAATAATCGCATAGCGATCGAGCTGTATGAAGAACGCTAGAGCCGTGATAACGGCGGAACGAAGCTCGCGACAGCCGCGTGCGGCGAATCGATTACACAAAACCGTTCCTACTGCCCGTCTCCCATTGGTTAGCCACTCGTTCAGTTCCCGGCACTACTGCAGTTCCCGCTCATTCCCCAATTATTCCCTATTTGAATTGCAGTGAGCTTCTCATATTACTTTCTTTGTCCCCACCAATCTGGAGGTTATATTCGGTTAATACCGAAGATTGTTGATTTGACAAAGAGAAACTATTGTTATTAATTGAAGGCTGCTGAAGATCTTCTCACTCGGATGTTCGAGGAAGCCTCTACGTGCGCAATTCATGCAAAGCGTGTCACTGTGATGCCAGGCGATATCCGTTTGGTAAGAAAACTGCAACATTGGTAGATCGTCTATGGATTTGTTAGTTTTTGTAAATTTCTATTTGCTAACTCATTCATATGATTATTACTTTATTGCTGTCATCGACTTAACACCGTATCTGTACCTACTTATATCTTGCTTTTGTGATTACAACACTGCCAAAGTATAATGGCAGATTTTTTGCGAAGTTTTCCGCTTAATCTCATTGTAATCTTGCATTATCTTGAATTATCATGTAATATAAGTTTTCTTGATAAACTGTTTTTGTTACGCTTGTGCAGTATAAACCGTCTATAATGGGAATGGAAAAAGTTAATATCAATTGGGTTATAACCCATACATGAATCTCTTCCAATTACTTTTTTCTAGTTCTTTCTATTATTTGAGATGAAGCTTTACGTTAATTCGTACATGGTGTATCTTGGATAGTTCACTTTAATTGATGTAGAAAGTAAGAGGAGTTTTTGAGTTTTTATTATACGAATGTCGAGTTTTTGGCCGTTTCGATTCGGTCGTCCAGGTTTGTTCCAGCCTGGTTGATTCTCTTCCAGCTGAATGACAATGGCTTACTTGAGAGAATCGTTCTCTTGTGTTGTTGAAGGTAACTGAGTTCTTGTGAAAGGGCCTCACGTACCCTGGCTGAAGAAAGTGGCGAGTGTGTGTCCCAGATACATCCAGTGTTTATTTTCGTTTCAAAATTTGCATTCATTGATGCACGTTTTTAAGTGATACAGTGACGGTCGTGGGCGTTCCCTCAGCGATACCTATCTGACCTCCGTTATCTGATTTTCATTTGTCTTGAGAAGTTCATCATTTAAAAAATGAGCGTTCAGATGGTTTTGCACTTCGCGCCCTTTCTCTAATGAAAGTAGTGCGATCAAATTTGCTCTCAATTGCTCTGAGGTTTATCATCACTTTCTTTTTAATTTAATAATTTAATTTCAATTTGGGGAGGTTTGATAGCCTTGTTCAATTTACTTGTAGGGGTTTGAATGTCCTGAATGTCAAACGCTTCTAAATATTAATGTGAACTTCTTTCCTCAGTCATTGGGTGCTCCCTACACAGGCCGCCTGATTGTATTGAACTTTAGATAACTGAGATATATGGATGTCCATTTAGGGCAGGTTGAGTCTATAGGGGACCGAATGTCACCTGGAGGCCGTAGTCATCCAGGCAACGAACCCTATCCTCCCATAATTCGCATTTCTATGAGAGATCTCGCAACCCCAGTGGGCAAATAAAGGTCGTACCCATTATATGGCTTCAATAAAGTGAATTCGTTTCCGTCCTGAAGTTTTGATTCAGCTTTTGCGAAATTCATTTCAAATTAAATCATTTCGGATCAGCATTGCTCCAATTGAAGGAACATGCTAGACTATAGATTCCCAAGCGTTGATCAGCCGTATACTCACCACGGCCTTCCATTTACCCTTTCGGAACCTTGGCAGCATTTCCGCTTCCTCAACCTCCCTATAGAATGAGACATTTTCAGAACTTCCTCTTTGAACCTGGAATTTTACTCTCTGTAGATCACTCCTCCTTACAATTAGTCCACAGAGTGACTCAGATTCAGAGTGCTCATGAACGATGAATGTTTTTACTTTTAAAAGATCAGGATTGGTGAGAAAAACCCTTATAAGGGAGCATCCTTCCTCTACACAAATTTGGTGATTTCACCAGCGATTTGAGAACGAACACAGTTGCTTTGTGATCGACCGGCTGTCTACCAGGTGGCTGGTCCTTTCGTGCCACCGCGGTACAGACGGGCTATTGATGTCCTCACCATTCGCTCTTTTCCTTGAATTAAGATTTTAATCCTGAAGCTTTTCTTTTCCATGTTTGGCTTCCAATATCTATTAAATGACCTTTCTGCTAGGAGAGTCAGTTTTTTCATGATGGCGACTTGCAGATAATCCCGAGCAAAAACCAATGCACTGTCATTGCCCTTTCAGTTCCCTTTATAAGCAGCCATGACCCACTGTGAATAGCTGCTAGTAGCATAAATAGAAACTTTTTTCTTCATACTTATATCGAGCTTCAATTGAAGTGAATGCCCTCGTTAACAATCGACAAATTAGTCGATTACAAATGATTAGCTCTGATGATTCATTGGGTAGAAGGCAGTAGATTCCATTGAGAAGCCTGCTAGAAGGTCAATCTTTCGTCAGCAGTTTCCCAGGTTAAAGTCCAAATTGTTCGTTCAACCCCCTGCTGTTGGAACAGACGTGATCATGAACAAACTGCTTGACTTGCAATCTGGGAGCATGCCGTTTGGTCGTCATTGTGTCGTCTCGCACTGGAAAATAACGTCGTCGGTGGTCTCTTTGATAAGCTAAGGAATTCCTCACTTTATGTTTATTTCTGTCTCATTCTAAAGTCGTTTTAGATAGTGTCTATTGAAAGGAATCACTGGAGCTTATTTCTCAAGCGATCAAACCTCATTCTGTGTGTCCTGTGAAGATTTCGTTCGATTTTGTATTTCGACGAAATTCATCTCTCATTTCAGCGTTCAAATGTTTTGTATTTACATCAAAACCCAGATAATCCATACCTAGGATGGAGCCTGATGAGAGGGTAATTCGGTTCCATCGACATCGATGCCCATTATTGGCGGCTGCTGGCGCTTGTGTTTCGCAATACTTTGGAAAAAACTCACACTAGAAAGGAGGCGCTCTACAACAAGCAGAACGTTTGGTAACAACCAGCGGTCCCATATGGGAGCCTCGTACCTTTCTACCAAAATCCGGCTTTTTTCGTTGTCTAATTACGAAATTCTGCAGAAGTATTCTGCTTACTGTTTCCAAAAGGCGGTCTGCAATCGATTCCTGAAGCCTGCTAATTTTTGCTAATTGTGAGTTTTAAGTGTCTGATTTTTTCGGCCAGATATCTGTTGTTTATTTGTTTATTTTATATTATATACATTTTGTTTATAGTTGATTGTACACTGTTTATTATTAAATCTTTCTCAAAAAAATGGCTTTCAATTCTTCCGTACTGCTCGAATCCTATGGAATCAAAAAATTGAAGAAAAAATCCACGAAAACAATCAGTCTGCATTGATTTAGTGGCATCTTCTCGTTTTCCGAGAATCGATCAAGCGCAATCGCTGCATCCCATTGCAAGAAAAATGAAGCAAAAATATAAGTGATCAATACATTTTTATTTTTTGATTTTTTGGCAGTTCAAACTCACCTGCGCGATCAGCGACGCGTCGTCGTGCCGCAGGTCGGCCTATATACTACTGTTCCAGACTCCTAGAACCTATCGATTCTTCAAGCAGCAGATATCGATTTCTGCGTGCGTCTCTAACGCCACGAAATACTGTGGATCGGTGCGCGTGGGTTTTTTCTTGCCATTTCGATGATTAGCAGGCCGAAAGTGTCTCGTAAGTTTCACCCCACGATTGTATTAGAAACTCTGATCGGAAAAATAATCAATAATATTTGGAACTTTTTTTTGGCAGAATAATGCACATCTATAATAGCTAGGGAAAAGTGGTTCATGGAAGTCCTTGGAAATGTCTTTTCTCAGCTAGTAAGAGTCTAGCTGAGAGAGAACATTCCAGAGAATTTTTCGAGTATTACTAAGACGGGTAGTAAGGGAAAATAGGCCTTCCTATAGCGCGTAGGTGAACTTCTTCTAATTCCCTAGACCGCATGGCGGTTTGTTTTAATATGTAGCTGTTTATGAGTGAACTTCCCCTTTTTATTTGGCTGGTCCATTCACGAGTCATTTTTTTTGCAGACGCTGTCGAAAAAAAGTGTTCCATGCGCCCAGAGGATTATTGGATGTGGTGCTATTTTTGTCTCCACGCATTTATTCGTTCGATTTTTTCGTCAAGTCTTCCTATCGACACTTTTAACCATTTGTGGTGGGTTCAGAGCTGTTGTTTTCTTACTTAGTTTCCAGAGATGGTTCTTCCCTATTTGTGAATTTGATTTTTAATCGTTTGTGGGCCCACCAATTTCTCGTAGCCAGTGTGCGTAAGATTGTTGAGAAATATACAGTGCTTTCGTGGCTGCCTGCAGTATTCTGCTTATCAAAGTCCACATTCACGCTGGAATTTCTCAGTAATTCTTGATGAAAACAATGACATTACGTGTCCAAGATGAAGGAGTAGTTCTTCAGAGCTAATCTCCTGAATGAGGTAAGGTATTCAATCAGTTCCTCTCATTTGAGTTATGCGTTAATTGTTTCTATTGTACTGATTCTTGCCGAATGAACTACTCCACCTTGGTTTTCAAACGAACTACTCTTATTTAATTTTAAAACGTTCCCCTCTTCCATAGCGACCAATATTGTTTGCTGAAGATGACGCCCAAGATGATCTGTATCCCATCAGCCTTATCCTTAGTACTAGATCCTGCTCAGGCTAATTGAGTTATTTCCAGTTTCGAGTCCAACTAGTCGATAAAAGAAGGGTTGACTGAGATGAAGCTACTCTTTAAACAAGTGCTGCCATAAAACGTCCATGATCCGACAACATGCCTAGAGAAGACCCATGTAAAGTCCTAGGTGTGTTGTTCTCTTTTCATCTCCCATTGCATTTTTCTCTCAGGAATTATCTATAGGTGGGTCCAAAGAGTCGACGAAACTGTCGTCGGCATTCCGATACGACTTGAGGGTAAATTACGGCAATAAAGGTGAAAAATAGCTGCGAACAAGTTATGCGACAATGGTGGAAAACGATTTTCCGATTTTCACGACCTCGTTGGCAATACCAGTTTGTCGACGTCGGCTACGTCCACTCTCTCGACTCTCGTGCATAGTTGATCGACTGGAAATGGCGATCGAGCCGAGGAAATTTGTGTCAAAGTCTTACGCATTTTTCGCACCCCCACTCGCTTCTTCTCCCACACAGCGGTGCGCTTTTCTGTGGCGGCGATTACGAGAGTTCACTTGGACTCTCCTCCTGAGTTCTCGCGACACCCAGGCTATGGTTTAGCCCCTGACATACACTAAACTACTATGGCACGCGATACACAGGAATACGGAAAGGCATTTACGATGATTACACTATGCT